CCATCGGAAACGATGGACGCAGCCCTAGCCCTCACGGGAACCTACCTCGACACTCCCAAGCGGAGCGTCCGCATCCGATTCGGCAACCGTCAAGGTTCCATTCCCGGGCTGCCCGCGGCAGATCGTAACTTTATCTTCTCCAGGCCAAGCTCTAGCCTCGACCGCTTCGTGGTCTTCGGCGGCGTCAACGAGAGTGGGAAAACCGAGGATGAATACCTCGTTGGACACAGCTTCCACCGCGTCGCCCGCCCATGCGATCAGAGATCGGCCGAGACCGGCGGGCGGGCGATGAAGTCAGGCTGGTTCTCGATCGGAAGGTGGGCGACGTCGCACTGAACCTCGACAGGGAAGCGGCGCGTCTCGACCCCTAAATGATACCTCTAAGCTGTCGCCCAGGCGTTCCTACCTCGACGACCTGACGAAGTAGGGGAGGAAAGGGCTTCGCCTGACTTCCACAAACAATGCGCTGCATAGCCAGGAGAAGTCACGAACGCCGGGTTGGAGCATGTGGAACTCTAAGAGACCCTGCCAGGACCGAACGAATGAGGGGTCGCCGTGACGAGCCGGGCCTAACAGGCTGTACGGGTCCAAGCCGTCGGCGCCTTCGCTTTCCTCCACGCTCACAGGGGGCAAGGGCCGGGTGAGGAACGCAAATCCTGGAGAGAGGCTCGCCTGGTTGGNCCCTGCCAGGACCGAACGAATGAGGGGTCGCCGTGACGAGCCGGGCCTAACAGGCTGTACGGGTCCAAGCCGTCGGCGCCTTCGCTTTCCTCCACGCTCACAGGGGGCAAGGGCCGGGTGAGGAACGCAAATCCTGGAGAGAGGCTCGCCTGGTTGGCTGAGATGGACCAGTCGCGAAGAGGACGCGCATCTTCTCCCCGAGTGTTCCTTCGGTCCTGCGGCAATAAGCACCCAGCGCTCCTGTCCCCCTACAGACTATGTGCTTCAACGGGCAACCCGGGAACGCGAGGTGAGATCCTTCTCGGGGGTGTGTCCAAGCGTGTCGCGTGTTGTCTATTCCGGGTTTCTTCGGCACCTTCGCCAAGTCTTCCTTTTTGTTTCGGCCTGCCTTTCCGGCATTGTCCTGCGGTGGACGGGCGCTCCATCCAGGTAACGTGCGTCCGCTTACAACACGGCCTCAACAGTGCCCCTCCGGCTCCCTCTCGCCTCCCCCCGCGACGCAATATGCCTTCTTGCCCTCTTGCCTCGTCCAAACATTTCCCATTTTCCGTCCGCATGCATACATACAGCAGTAGGTCAATGCACTGGTGGGTATCACAACTGAAGTCGAGAGCGTACGATGTTGCGCAGAGACGACCCACCAGACGACGACATCGTCGTGTCAAACTTTGGATGATAAGAGGGCTCGGGAAAACAAGAGGACTCGGACTCGGGAAAGACAGAGGTACGGTAGCCACGATGTGTGGACGACGCGATAAGCGAAAGAACCCGGCAATAGACAACACGCAACACCTACTGTATACTGGTAACATGACTCACCTGAAGTTGCCAGGTTGCCCGCTCAAGCGCGCGAGCAGAGGAGCACTGTATCTCGGCGGCGGCTCCGGTGGTGACAACCTCACCGTCGACATCCACGACGGCGCCGGAAGAATCGACGGGCGCCTGTAGTGGAGATGTGCAGGTTTCGGCGGAGGGGAAGGCGCGAACGCACCCCGACACTCCCTTACCGCCTGCGCCTACGCGTGCAGTACCTCGCCACCGAAGCTCACTCTCTAAGCGCCTCATATCTACCGCAACGTCGCAAAACCAGCAGGTTGACCTCCTCGTCCAGATCGCGTCGTGGTCTGTTTCCGGGGGCCGCCCGATCCGCGTGGACGCACTCACTCCGTCCGTGCGGGGGGGCGTACGGAGGCCACCGGTCGCCTCAGACGTCTGCCCAAAGGTCAACGAGGATTTCGTAGTGGGGGACGCCTTCCCAGGCTCGCCAGCAACGTCTCGTTCTCCTCCCACATTCTGTCGACGTTCGTTGTCGAACCGAACATGGCGGTTGGGCAAGGGCCTCGGGCCTATCCAGGCGACCGCGCGCTTGAGCGGACAACCTGGCAACTGCAGGTGAGTCATGTTACCAGTATAGGTGCTGCGTGTTGTCTATTGCCGGGTTCTTTCGCTTCAACGCGTCGTCCACGCATCGTGGCTACCGTACCTCTGTCTTTCCCGAGTCCGAGTCCTCTTGTTCCCCCGAGCCCTCTTATCATCCAAAGTTTGACACGACGATGTCGTCGTCTGGTGGGTCGTCTCTGCGCAACATCGTGCGCTCTCGACTTCAGTTGTGATACCCACCAGTGCATTGACCTACTGCTGTATGTATGCATGCGGACGGAAAATGGGAAATGTTTGGACGAGGCAAGAGGGCAAGAAGGCAGATTGCGTCGCGGGGGGAGGCGAGAGGGAGCCGGAGGGGCACTGTTGAGGCCGTGTTGTAAGCGGACGCACGTTACCTGGATGGAGCGCCCGTCCACCGCAGGACAATGCCGGAAAGGCAGGCCGAAACAAAAAGGAAGACTTGGCGAAGGTGCCGAAGAAACCCGGAATAGACAACACGCGACACGCTTGGACACACCCCCGAGAAGGATCTCACCTCGCGTTCCCGGGTTGCCCGTTGAAGCACATAGTCTGTAGGGGGAGAGGGAGCGCTGGGTGCTTATTGCCGGAGGACCGAAGGAACACTCGGGGAGAAGATGCGCGTCCTCTTCGCGACTGGTCCATCTCAGTCAACCAGGCGAGCCTCTCTCCAGGANCAGGAGCAGAGGAGCGTGGGCGTGCCTCAGGCGATATGGCCGGGAGCTCTTCGACAGACCGCAAGCGCCATTCCGACTCAAGATCCGCCTGCTCCAGGCGGAGGTTATGGAGGCTCTGCTGTACGGCTGCATGACATAGTCACCACTCAGCGGCCACTATCAGGCGCTGCGGTCGATACACCACCGACTGCTGCTTCGAGCTATCGGGTACAAGCGCAAGAAAGACACCTACCGGCAGCTCTCTTACGCCCAGACGCTGAAGAGGGTCGAATGCCAGAGCGTTGAAGCCACGATCCGACAACGACGCCTACTGCTCGCGGGAGCATTGGCAAGGCAGCCGGACGGGCGACTCCCGAAACGACTGATGTTCGGCGAACTGGCGGGGGGGGAGAAGCGACGTAGGGGGGGAATAGGAACAGAACTGGCCGAAGTGTGTGCTCGACGACCTGAAGGCATTCGGGGCCGACCACGGATCTACGAAAACTGACCCATGTTGTCTCGGAGTCCCGGTACCGAAAGACACGGCACCGAAGTTAAAGTGGACGGAAGCCGCGAAGGTGGAGGGGGGAGTACCCTGGCATGCGGCAGTGCTGCAGGGAGCTGAGAGGTTCATGAACTCCTGGCACGAGAAGGAAGGAGAGGCCAGCCGCATGACCTCCTGGCACGAGAAGGAACAAGAGGCCAGCCGACAACGGGCGCTCAAACGAAACCACAAGTCAACAGCCAATGGGGCGGGAGGGGGGCAGGAGACGGACGAGACGGCGAGGGAAGAAAGCAAACGAGAAGAGACGGACCGAGTGGCGCGATACGTGCCGAATNCCCCAACGTTGCACCAACGCACCAACCCCCCACTGGTGATGACGTACCATTACAGTGTATCGCTGGTTGGTGGCCATGTTTGCGTGTTTGCTTGTCGTTAGTGGTCTCTCCACCATGTGCCTTTTTCTGTCTGTTATTTCTTGATATTTTCGGCCTGGTCCCTTTTTGTCCTCGCTCTGTTCATTTCATTTTCTCTTTCCTTACTGTTTCCTTTTATTTCCTTCCCTTTTGCTCCTTTTGTCTCTTTTTCCGCGCCAGATGGCCTTGTCTCTGCTTGCGTTGTGAAGTATCAAGATTGAACCAAGGGGGTGTACCTCATTCTCTCCGGCCGTGATGGTGACTCCTAGTCTCAGTTGTTACCTCGCATAGCGTGCAGAGGGAATGGAGGACTCCAGAATATCTGTCGTTGATTGCTATTGACTTGCGGACCCCTCGGGGCCATGTATTTGAGTGCATTCCCTTCACCCCGGTGCTCTTCTAGTTGTATCCTCGTAATCCGCTAGTCGCAGAAGTCGTGAGTTCGACCCCCCTTGGGGTGAAAAATTCACGAAATGTGCGGGTGAAAGCGAAATATAGCTGACAAGCGCTCGTGAGTACCAAACTTCGACGTTAGCACCGTTGACGAGGGAAAGGGACGGCTGGACCCTTCTCGCGATGAAAATAAGATTCAGCACGCACCGCAGGAGGAAAGTGGGGCATGAAAAGAAATAAAAAGAAGAAAAAAGCCCTGGTGTTTACCCCATCCTGTGTGACCCTGGATGGTTGTAGTTGTACGAAAAAATACACTGAAAAGTGTAGTACTCTACATACGCTGAAAAGTGTAGTACACGTCTCACAACGAAAAATGGGGGAACTGTCGCCATAATATATAGGACGAAAGCACACACAACACCTTTGTAGGGTAAGTTAGCCTGCGACCACGGGAATCGGCCGCGTCGAGTGTTGGATCAGTACGGACATACGAAGGTACTGGGTANTGAAAAGTGTAGTACTCTACATACGCTGAAAAGTGTAGTACACGTCTCACAACGAAAAATGGGGGAACTGTCGCCATAATATATAGGACGAAAGCACACACAACACCTTTGTAGGGTAAGTTAGCCTGCGACCACGGGAATCGGCCGCGTCGAGTGTTGGATCAGTACGGACATACGAAGGTACTGGGTAGAAAGAGATCGGAACGGTTTTTAATGTGAAGACAACAACAACAACAACAACAACAACAACAACAACAACAACAACACCACACACAGATACAGCACTGCACACAGATACCGAGGTGCCTTCGCAAAAGATACAACCAACATCCAGTCGTTTCACATCCTCACACATCCTTCCGCGTTGCGTGTGAACTCCGGAAGGTACTATCTGTATGCCCCCCCGGCTGTGCATTTTTGCGACCTGTGACCTGCAGGGACTACAAATCAACGCACGGCTTGGTGATGGTGCTAGGATACTCGAGAGTGGTGGAGTGCCTTGTTGGCATCGTGTCGCCGTGGTGAGCTGTCGCTGGTTCCAAAGCAGTACAAGTGTACCTTGTCCATGCCGTACATTGTAAATTGTGGTCGTTTATCCGAGAACAAGCAGCGTATGTTCTTTGCTTCGCTCTCTTGCGTGTATGTCATGTGTTACAGCATTAGCTGCTCGTACAACACTGCTGCTGCTTTTGTGTTAGAGGAGAGCAAGAGCATCAGCGTCCTGTGGTTTGCTTATCGATGAACCCGGCAGCAGACATATGTGTCGGCTTGCCGTACTAGTGCTTGCTGTAGTGCCTCTTTCGATCCATCTTTTTTACGCCCAAGTCCAGCTCGCAGAACCCCTGTGCAACTTGTGCAACTGAGAGTGGTTACATGTTTTGTGTCTCAATTCCAAGTCGGCTGCCGTCCCCCATGTACACAAGGCTGCTGCACCCCGCAGACAAAGCCAACCACACGCAGCAGCAGCATTCGATAGTATTGTACCCCACCAGTGCCCCACGCCCTATTAGAGTTGATCCCTGTCGGCGCAACAGATTTTCCGCGAATACCGTCACTACCCACGGCAGTTGCTGCCCTTGCATGTTCTTGCTCACCCACCCATGGCTTGCCAAACCAGAATGGCTCTCCGTAGGTAGCGTTCTCCCATGAGTGTCGCGGACGATGATCGTAGATGCACTTCATTGCCACGTCCCACCTCTTAAGAGTTTACGAGAATGCTTGCGTTTGCTCTTTTGGGAGCGGTAGACTCTCATGGGGGCCATGCATGTATCCTACGCAATGCTTGGGTATTTGTACAGCAGCAGTTGTTTTTCGGCTGGCTGTGCCGTGGGCCGTGGGGCGAACGGTTCGAGAATCAGCGCACGTCTTGGGTGGGTGTGCGCGACCTGCCGTGCATGCAGCGCACATTTTTTCGAGGCGTACGATTTTGATGATTTGTTCGAGAGCGGGCGGCCGCTGCTGCTCTTCTTGGCCACGGATTTTACCGACCCCTTGAGTATAGTCTTGGCGACGGCATTCCCAAGCCCAACCAAAGCGTGTTGAATACGTTGTCAAGGAGTTCCGACCACGGCGCGACTCATCCTGCGTGGCAGCGTGAGTCATTCGGCTCTGTCCGAAATATCTCTGTAACTCGAAAATGACGAATAATCTGCCCTCCTTCACGTCCCTGTATTTCCTACGCGTGCAGGAGCGCGGTCGCCTCGCTCGTGCTGCTGCCCTCGGCGGCTGAACGGCTCCCTTTCCCCTTCCGAGCGCTGGCACAGTAAGTCCGCAACAACGCGCGTTCACTTCACTTTCCCCCGCTAGGGTCGTGCTGGCATTCCCTACCTTTTAGAAAGCTCTTGCATTATTTGTAGCGCGTCTATTTCTGTCCGGCGTTGAAACTGTACGGCGATCAACCCACTCTGCACATGTCTAGTCATGACGGCACAGGTTTTTGCACGCGATACGGCGTTATGCCCCGCCCGCTCTCGGTTTTCGCACCGTGTTTAGGTCGATACGGATCGCACGTACCACGTACCCCCCCCCCCCCCCCCCCCCCCCCCCCCCCCCCCCC